CGTGTAATTAACCAAAGCTAGCTTGTTGAGGAAAAGCACGATACATAAATGATCATGAAATTTCCTGTGTTCTTAATATAAGGGACGTCCCCAGCGTCACTGGGCTTTCTTATTTCGAGGCCGGACCTACAGCCTTTACATGCGACGTGTGGATTACAGAGTAACAGTGTTGGTGTTTGGCTACCGGTGGCTTACCAGGAACTCATTTGGCATTCATCTGTTCAGGGATTTCATGAATAATTTGATAAATGTTAGAGACTCAGAATCATCACTGAATGCCGTAATCATGAAAATTTTTTCTTTGTATAAAGATTACTGTACCATGATTTGTTTGGCACAGTCTGACGTCAAGCGTGTGTATGGAATATATATATATATATATATATATATATATATAAAATCAGTAGCAGACTTGCATCTCCTCACCTTCTAAACAGGTCCGTTTACTTACCACTGGTGTCCCAGGTTTTATAGTACTCTGAGCTTTAAACTGTCCACTTTATTCTCCCATGAATAGACCAGATGGGTAGTTGAAAGATAGCTGCCACAACCATGACACCACAGTAAAAGGTTAATGACTGTAAAAACAGGAAATAATTTAGGCGAGTTGTATTTAGGGAAGAGTTAAATGAAAAATAAGGTTCAGCCAAATCTTTGCTTCATGTGGGTTTTACAGATTATCTGTGCCGCTCTATCCTGTGGATAGCCTGTTTGGGGTCTACGAACATAACTCTCTGATATCCAAGATTACGAGACAATTGTGTCCATTCCATTCATCCACTTCAATATTTTTATTTGTTCGCAAATCGCATTACTTTCGGAGTTCATTGAAGAATTGTCCAGAGGCACGTGTCAAAATTTGTGCGTCTATTAGTAACCGGCGTGACACACATGTATGACAATACTGAAAGCATTCTGCAAGTATCTGGCTTCAACCTTCGATTTTCAGTTTCAGCAAGAATGTACGCATATGATTGTTCGCGAGCAAAAGTTTGCTTTTGAATATAGCTTTTCTTAATCATCAGAAATTCCCAGTTCAAGACAACTGCCATTCATCGATCACTAATAAGCGAATTTTCACTTCCGGTTTTCATACACAAGCATCCTATTCATGACGAAATGAATTTACTCGTTTGCTTGATAGTTGTATCACCGTCATTGGTATGTTCCGAGATTCGAACACCACCTATGCCATTCGCAGGTGGTGGTAAATGGCTTCGGTTCCGTTTAGTTCGATTCCCCCATCCAACTGCGTTTTCTGCCGCTCTGGTTCTCGGGGCTTGGGTTTCTTTTATATCACACATTTCTGTGGTGAACACCAGAGTTGGTGGACCCCATAGTCACTAAGACCTGCTGTTTAGTGATGGAAACCGATAAACTAAGCCCTGGAACTTGGTTGAAGTGGTGAACCACAGAAGGCTCTATTAGGTTAGGCGTGGTATTGAACAGCAGGTCCTCTTAACTCTTGTTTGCACCGTCCATAGCTCAAGGTAGCTCGGTTCCGATTAATCTAATTAGGCGATAGTTTCCTCCACCGCGACGCATGAATTTTCCCCAGTCGCCTGTTGGCATTGGCAATTTATGATTGTTGCTTATTGTGGTCACATAACGGGAATCAAAAAAATCTTTTGACTGTCGAAATAAAGACTTGATCGTTTGTTGATATTCACCTGTATACTATCCTATTTAAGGCCACTGAACTACTCAAGGCTATTTTGTCATGGCATTTTTAATGATTTTTTTGGTTTCCCCCCCCTCTTACTTACATTCTCATTGAGTCCATTCGTTAACCATTCAGTCTATAATGGTCTGGTTTCCTTAATCTCGGTAGTCGTTATTGCTTTTATGTCGGTGATTGTTTTATTAAGAAGTTTTCCACGTTTACTTGTACAATTTTTCAGTTCTTTTGATTACCCCTTCCTCCTCGATAATTATTTGTATTGTTATGTAATCAGCAGAAGAGAGGCAAAAATTAAGATGTATATCTATGACACCCTATCTGAATAATCTCAGTTGTCTCGATGATCTGTCGCATCTTTTGTAGCCAGAAAATCCTCTGGAGGAGGCCTCGAACTTTTTGCGGCCACTTCTAGATCTGTCACCGAAACGGATCGAAGTTCATTGTCTAGCGTATGAAATTTACGAGCGCAAAAGTAAGAATATTTTGTGCTAAACGTCACTGTATTTTTCCGCACTTATTTTACCAAATGCTAATAGCTAAGCTTGTGTTTGTTTAAACACTGTATGAAATAGTGCTTTTCCGTGAGTCGGTAACATTGTGCTTTTAGATCTCAGTCGCGACACAGACTGTCTAGGCTAGCAGCTGCGGATGCAACCAGTTTCACACGTGATACTGAGTTTATGACTTGGACACGAAAGCGAATCGATATTGACGGCTTAGCGTGTGTCAAAATGAAGTTGGTCTCTACCATCGTCATCATTGCAGAGAAAACAGGAATTTGATTCCAAAAATACGGAAGGTTGTTATTTTATCACAGTTCATTTTCCAAGCGTTAAAAATCCACTAAATCGACACCACGGTGATCACCTTGTGTGCAACATTATCTCTTGTTTTCTGTATGGTATTCGTTTTGACTTGATGGTGATTGTTGAGATTAGCCCATTCGATTTTTCACAGGCGCCAAGCACTGTTGATCCCCAGCAGTGTCTGGTGGCTGTGAAAAACCGAATGGGTTCACTCAAACATTCACCATCAAAATTGATTAAGCCATTCGCACGTGATAACCGTCGACCGTGTAGCTCAAGGGTAAGGGTTTGAAGTCCTAGCCCGAAGAATCGCGGTTCGAGTCCTGACAGGGACACAAAAAGTACGCCCTGCTGGCGAGTTCCAAACAGGACGAAAAAGCTGTCGAGTGCTCTTTGTTGGTTATCACAGACGTTTCCGTCCCATTTAAATGCATTCATTTTGACTTGATTATTGAACACTCGTTAAACACGTACCTTTCTTCTGTCTCAAACTCATTGAGTCGACGAGCTGATTTTGTTCAATCTTTCGTTTATCCGATCTGTTGAATTACAGACAAATTATTGCTGATGCTGAAGGCGATCAAGCTTGGCAGAAAACTAAGCGGATCGGAAGATCACCCGTGGTTCCATAGCTGCTGCGTCCGCTTTCTGATCCGTCTGAATCGGTATGCGTCTGCTCTTTCTGACTCCCCCGAGTCCCCCGTACACAAGGTTCTCACCACCGAAGTGCCAGAACTCTTCGAGGGCTGGCCAAACAATGCAAGCTGTTTACCAGCAACTTTGAACAATCAGTTCCTCGAGCGCAACAAGTGCAGCTTCCCTCATGTTTTCCGAGGTAATTTTTTTGTGATTTGTAAACTGTATATACAAATATATATATGCTGCAGTTTCTTTTTAATCCGCTAACTGTCCCCACCTCCCTTACTCTCGGTCGTAGTAAGCTCTCAATTTAGAAATTTGGCTATAAGAAACAACCTCTGATTCAACTCCAGGCTCACGCGTGCACTCGGTCATGTTCGGCAAGACTCCATTCAGACCAGAAAACTGAAAATCTGAGAAATCACAAAGTAAATGCATTTCCATATGCATTTGCGACTTAAGTGTTATATACTCCTGTACTAATCCCCAAATAGGTTAAGTTTAGTGTACTCTGACAGTTCCTATTCCACCTAGCACGTCTTAATTCTTCCGACAGATACTGTCCCACTTGGTACAGATTGACATGTCAAGAAAGTATGTGCTTCGTTATATTCCGTTCGGCTTACGAATTTCCTTGTTGAACAGTTCAAACTGGATACTGTATCTTCTTTTACGATGCCATACATGAACGATTCGTCAGATCACGTGTTACTACGAAAATTTTCTAACAGCATGATGTATATAGGATCTACTCTACCGCTCTCCAGTTATGTGATTCCATGCACTAAAGCATTCCAAGACCAGGACGAAACCTGACAATTATTCATACCCCCAATCATCTAACCATAACAATCGACGGAATAACCTAATTCAAATACTCGTATATATATATATATATATTCTAAAAAATTAAGGCCTACTTGTATCCCTTTTTATATGAAATTCCTGTGGAAATAACTTTCACTCTTTCAGCGCGGTTTCGTGATTTTTTTTACCACGCTTTGCTCTTTTCGTCGTCCCTAATGTTCCCATGCACACCAGATAACCCGGTCAGTACTTTTTATTTTGGGAATTACATTCATAAACCTTACCATTATCTTTTATATTTCTTTAAACATCAATGGAGGACTACGTTCAACGACCGTGAGACAACATCTTCCTCGTCAATCTAAGATTTCTACCGGTTGAATAGAACGCAATGTAGGGAACAAGACTTATTTTCAGTGACTTGTTTTCTTTAGCTAATACATTACAGTATGGATAACTCGGATAAAAATAGGAGAGCAATGATAGCACGTACAAAATAATTAAATGATACGTGTGTAATGTTAACTGTTTCTGTTATGGTATCTAGTCCGAATGGAATGAGTGGGAATTCCCGCTGATTCCGCGGTGGCCAGGTTTCGATGTTTAATCCGTTTACATTGTCGCTCACGAACCTGGTTGAGAAGGAGCAACGCCCTGGTGATCTAGGTGATCTGCCTCGACGATATATGAACAGATTACACTCGTAACTGAATTTGTCTAAAACTACGTCGAACTTTCTCTGAGTCAAGCGTCTGCTCGCGTGACCGATGAACGTTGTTCCACAGGAACAAGTATCCTCGTCGACCAATCACGATATATCATCGACATATCTCCTGTGCGGGTTGCATTTATCAGCGGAAGCTTTACAGACGTTGTTTTTTTAGCATTGTCATAAATAACTTCGCGAGAAAGAGTCTGGTGACGAGACCATCGCCACACCTTTCTGACGATAAGTAGCATCATTGAATTTAAAGCCCACTTTCATGTGCAAAAAATAGAGTAACTGTTTTGAATCCTCGGTACGTTCTACCAACACCCTTCTGTTTTGATTAGAGTTGTATACATTTTGATGTATTTGCCAAAGAAGACGAATCACTACACATCAGTCTTGTTCGCCACATTGTGTTCTATTGTCAATAGTCTAATCGGACGATTTCAGTCTACCTCAAAAATCATCAAATTTTTCTTAATTTTTAGGAGCTTTTATGCGCTGCTTCATTGAACCGGAAAAACGAACGCTTCACTTGTCCAATTTACCACTGCCATCACTCGGTCTGGAAAATACCACCTGGGAAGTAAGTAATGTCTTGTTTCTTTTTTAATGTGTATTCAGTCCATTTCGTTGAACACGTGTTTTCCTCATCTGTCTGTGTAAACGGTTATTGTTTTGACTGCTTTCTTTCCACTGACTAAGGTAGTACCTAGCGAGGCCTTATGTGGTTCACCACTTCAAGTCTTGGGGCTCTGGTTACCGGTTTCCATCACAAACCAGCAGGTCTGCGTGACCATGGGGTCCATACCCTGTCTGCTGTTCATCACACAAGTGTCATACAGAACAAGATTAAGGGAGACTTTCGGTGTTCACGCCACATTGCTTGAGTTCTTTGTTATGAACGGACAAGCAAGCCTGAGGTTAAACGGAGGGTTTTAAGTGATCGCGATCAAGCACTAGAACAGGTGACTGGTTTTCATAGAACGTGATAACTGGGACATGTTTTACGCGTGCCACCGGATAGAACTTATGGGCTTGCAATGCTTGCATGCCTGTACAAATGTTGAGTGAGAGAGAATTACAGGTGATCGAAACGAAACCTGTCATGGCCGTTTGAGAACTTTACCACAGGGCTTTGATATATGACATGCATTACCTTTTCCGGGTGAAGAGTTCGGAATCGGTCGAATCATCGGTTGGAGACACTCGGTGAGAAAGGTGAGTGCCATAAACAGCGACACTTAGGCGTATGCTCTTGACTTTTATATTTAATCACCCTTCACAAACGCAATACAGTTGCATTTTGTATCTTTATCCGGTTACCTCCATCTACGCCATCTAAATGGGTCGCCGAAAGACAGTAACCAAAACCATACTGCGGAAGTGTATATACTGACCGGTTTAAGATTTACATTGTTGTTGCTACGGTCATTTTTGTAATTACTCTCTGTCGTCGGGTTTGCGGTCTACCAACAAGCTCTTCCATATTCTCCTTAGGGAATGTCTTTATTAGACGACGGGACATTGCCTTTACGTGCTTTATTCTTGTCATTGCTTTTACAAGTTACTTCAGTTGAAGATGGTTTTAATAATAGTCAATTCCACTAATCGCTTCACGCACCTCGTCGGTCGCACTCTTATAACCGTGGTCTGTAGACCAACGGACAGTATAGCACAGACAATCACAAATAAATGGACAATAATGGTGACAGAAAATCAATGGCAATGTCATACCAATAACTGTCGGTTTAGCTTAAAATTTTTCACAGACCCGTAACAACGCGTTTTTAGTTGGTGAGTAATCTATATAAATAGGAAACAATTCAACCTCCGTGAGGCTTTTCACACCTGTACGTGTTTATGACGGGAACATTTGGATAGGAAAGAAAGTCTGTGACTAAGTTCAGCGTATCAAGGGGATGAGAAAAGTGTACTATCGCATACTGTATGGGGTATGTGAGTACAAGCCAGTGGAAGCTCGATGGATCCGGGAATCAGTGTGGTACCTGATGAATAGACCGTGGAATCCCTAAACCCGATTGGCAAAACTCCATCAAAAAGCAACACGCCTTATGGGGTGAGTAAGGATGAAAATTGACCTGAGACGCAAAACATAGAATGTAAGCCTTCGGGCCTTGAGAAACACGTCTGTGGCATGGTCAGACCAGCTGAGATCGTGGTTAAGGATAATGCAGAAATATCTGACAGATCGTTGTCTCTCCATCGGGTCATTTGAGATCAATAAAAGGGGACAGGCATTTGATAGTTCATTATACTCACCGCATTTAAAAAGACAAAAAAGTGACATCAGAAAAATTTGTGGAGTTCATTCGAAGGTCCTTTGTGACCACTTCTCAGGCTCGTTCATATCCGCTTATAGAGTGTTATAAGAAGATGGTTTGTTGTAGGATGGTAACTGAGTTGATCATGTTCACGAAGTTGTCATTTGGCATGACGGGAATGCAGATCCGGAGTTTAAAGAAACTGATTCAATCCCTCTGTACCGGCAACCGCTAAGTGATATGAAGCTTTGATGCCGGAAATCTGCGTGACGATTTACCAGGTATCACGACTACATTTGGTTGTCAATCCGTGCACGAGTGCTCACATCGTGGTGCCTGTGAAGGTCATCACTGATGGATTTAGAAAGGGTGCGCATTTGGATGCACACTTATTCATTCTGAGGGCGTTCCTTTTTACGACGAAGTTGTTCTTAATGTGAGGTGGTGAATCGATTCGGGGGAGGAAGGTGATAGCTCTAAAATCTATCGGAGAAATTTGGATCTCTTGCTGAGTGATCACAGAAAATAGACGGTATAATCTGGAAACAGAAAAGTTGGAGGAGTTAATCATATCTCTTCATGAATTTCTCTAAAGAACGCTGTTTGATCTGGAGCTTGCGAGCACGGTTTCAAGCAAATAGGCAGTATTAGATTTCACTGAAAATGCTAGTAGAAAATTTGATGATGATCAGATGTCCCCAACGGAGAACGACCCTCTGCATGAAGTGAATGGGGAAGGTTGACCAGGCTTAAATTCAGTTGTGCATTAAATCTGATGGAGATGATGTGATGTTTTGAAAACTTAAAATGCTATCGCGATCAATAAAATCGTCACAAATAATGCTAACAGAAGTCCTTGCGTATTCAACCAATCAACTCCTGCGTAGTTCAATCGCTTTTTTCAATGGATTTTCAGCTCGATCACAATTTAACAATATTTAGTTATCTGCTATGAGTTTTTTGTGCTTTTGTCGGTCGTACGACGCCATTTACTTCATTCTTCTTTGTTTTTGAAGCATTGGATTCTACTGGTAAGAGACTAACAGTTTTTATTGTTTTTTATCGTACTTTTCACAATAGTCATGCGCTGAAGCTCTGAAGTTGCTGCGTACTGCGTACACAACCACTCTAGGAGGCCTGGAACCTGCAATAATTGAAAAATACCGTATAGCGTGTAAAGATCAATTTCCTATGGCCAACTTGTTCCTGACCAGTGCGGAGCGCGATGATTTACGTGCTCGAATGGTCGAAGCGGGCTCGAACACAGCGGTTTGCGGCGTTTACGTGACCTACACTACCGAAGCGGATGTCTATTCTGTCCCGTATCCTGCCGCATTGGTCCAACCATTTAACTCACTGTCACTCTGTAACGAGACGATAGTGAATGGTGATGCCGAGGATTCGTCTGATAACCCTTGTAAAGCTCCTGTGAATAATCTGAACAAGAAAACCCATAATTTAGATACCGGCAGGACTCAGCTCCCAGCGTCCACTTTCTAACAGTGTCACTCATTATTCTGTAGGTTTTTCTCCTTTCGCTGTGGCGGAATCCACTCGCCTCATCCCTGATGGCTTTTGACCGCGTGCTTTCATGTTCATTGCATGAAGTCCACTGCTCCGTCACGCGACATTTTGGAAATCATAACTTCTTTCTATGAACCCTGTCGTCCGAACTCCTCAAGGAAAGGATGCATTTTTTCTGCTCCTTCCTTTCGATCAACACTTCCCCACAAGCCTCTGTTCATTGTTCTCCTAGTCCGACTTCGTCGCAGCCTAACATGCCCGCATATTCCCCCCGGCCCCGATCCACACTTTCCGAGACTCTTTAACTTGTTTCCTAACCAAACGATTCCCATGGTGTACATTGTTCACTGACGTTTAGATGACTGAGTTGCGTGTCGCTGGGTTTCATTGATCCTGTGATGATTGACGGCTACTCTAGTTGATTTATCGGTCAGTAAAATGTATGACGCCTTGGTCTTGGATAAATAAAACTGATTGTCTCGTACCAACACCCTTCTCAAAGGAGCAAGAATGGAATACGCAGTCGTTTTGGCCTTCGGTTCTTTTATGTTCATTAACCCGTCTGCTTTATTTCGTCATTTTAAAAGGGATTTTCATTATGAATTGGCTCTCAATTTCCTCATCGGGCCACATCGTGCTTACGACATAGATAATGCATGAGATAGTTCTAACCCCACCCTTTGCTCCTGTAAAAACCAAGTGCTCAGCTTGATTAAATTCACTATTGAAAAACGAAACGAGGGTCTAATCTTGCTTGGAAGGTCAAAGGGTATAGGTCAAGTTGGAAGTTCGACTCAAATTGGAGCCCCATTCGGTAAAGCGATGGAGGAGTAATTGATTCAAGTAGACGGACCCTCTGCCTCTGTATGGGTGTATTGTATTTTACACACATCTGAGTCCAGACTGTGTGTAAAACTAATCACGGTACGAAGATATTTATAAAATGAAAATGTTCAGCGATTCGCTTGTGGGCGGAATACTACCAGCTCAAGGCAGGTGAATTTTCTCGGGGGTTCACATCCGGAGCCGTCGGCTAACCAAAGCCTGACCCGCCTGCCCTGTGGTCAGGTTCTTGTCAGAACTAAAGGTGTCGGTTGAAAACCGTAATCGTTCTCTCTTGCTTAGCTATTGAACTCCCTAGAAGTACCATTCCCTTCAGGTTCCAATGAACGCAAACTACGATTATACTGCATCGGTCGTCGCGCCGGATTATCAAAACTGCGTTCTCTATTGCATCGAGCAGGATGTTCAATGATAAATGAGCTACTGCTCAGACAGCCTAACCTTTGTTTAATCCTTTGGCTTCTCTTATTGGATGGGATCAACTCAGTGGTTCGATCGAGCCGATGCTTTATGTGCGATGGAACAGTTTGATCAATGACCTGTTTTCTATTGGCTGACGGAAGTGTCCACTCGCCGTGGGACATGTTCATTCAGTCTCAGTCCAAGTTGCCCTTCTGTTCGACCTAGGTAGTTGGTCGAACACCCACACGTGAAGTTGTATAGGTGTGATTTGACGTGAACTGTCTAGGGCTGCTTGACTCGTGGGACGAGTACATGCCGGCATCTTTGAAGCAGGATAGGGTTAACCGCATTGTACGACTGGAACGGCTTGGTCTGTTTACCGGAAGTACGATCTTCACCATCAACCAAGTGCGGGAAGTCCCATTATGCACTGCATATTTTGTAAACTTTCATGGGGTAGGTAGTGTTTTTACATCGGATTCCGTTGACTTGTGGCGGATTTCATCACCTAGCAGTCTGATATGTTTCACTGGGATGGTTCTTTTTCTGGCATTTTAAAGGGAAATGGTTGTCGCATACAGTAGAACAGTCCATCGGATTCTCTAGTCATCATTTCGAGCTCCTGGCGTTTCAATCCATGCGTCGAAAACAGCGTGAATAGTTGACGATCTTGGGATGCGAATTTCCATCCCAGGTGCAATGTAATTCGTCGTTTATATATTGTCAATCACCATACTAGCATTTATGGCATCCCCTATTAATGACAGATTTGCGTACTCCAGGAAATTTAGATTACTTGATGATTTTTTCTCTGAGTAGTTTGGTAAAACGCTCATCCGAAACGAAGTATCTCCGTCGTTAAGAGGCAATTGAAGTGCAATTGCTTATTATATTCCTCACACGTCTGAGGTCAAACTGTGTGCCAAACAAATAATGGTACAATAATCTTTGCAAAAAGAAAAACGTTCCAAGATTTGCATATGGGCCGAACACTGCCAGGTTGTCCACGCTAAGGCAGGTGAATTTTCTTGATGATTCATCAACCGTGGCCTTCTACTCGACAGCCTGACCCGCAAGGCAGCGGGGCGGTGTGAAAACCGCGGTCCGTTGGGGGCCGGTGTCCAGTTCATAGGATCATACGCCCTTCGAACGTCCAAGGTGCTCGATGCCCAATCGAGCCGGTGACCATGCCACAACCAGAAAGATGTGGCAATTGCTTGCTTCGGTGGTCGACGAAAATAGGCCTGGAACTAATGCCTGCAGCACTCGGTGAGATCGACAGAATTGGACCTTCTTTGCCATCAAAAAGACAAAAATCGTGACCCTAAAGCGCATCTATACATAAGTTAAGTGATACGGAAAGTTTGAGTCAATATTAATTGTAACTTTTGTATCACTGTCTCATGCGCGTAATTCGTCAGGCCGGTGGTTACTTTGGCCATCGGACTACGCGGATGTAGTACCATTCGTGTTTTTGTAATCCTCAGTGAAGCTGCGGCTATGGCTAAGTCAGCTCACACCATTAGAACTTGTAGCAGTATATTGTTTACTGCCGTTCCTACGAGCGGCTATGAGGAGTACTATCTGGCAGAGTGATCGGAATTACAGGAATTTGATCGCTTCTCATTTTCACACGTGTTCCTGATCGATTAGCCTTCTAAAGATTCTCCCTTTTTGTTTCAGGTTTTACGAACTGAACCTCTGGGAAGATTGTAGAAATGTTGGATCTTTGGCATGTCCACAGGGGCGTCAGTTATTGCCACAGATATTGTTAGTACGGGGAATAGAACTTGATGTTCTTTTGGTGGTTCTGGATACGTGTGTTCCGATGAGTGAAATGTGTCAGACCTCCGCGATATCAACTCCATTGATCGCTCTTGCTCATAAGTGTTGCTTTCGTGTCCTGTGACCTGATTCCCGGACGGGATTGTCAGATACTGCTGGGTTTGATTTCCCTGTTAAACGCTCCACGTACTGCATCATTTCAATTCTTCTTAATAAGTATGCTCGTGATGACGAATGTTTTGCACTTAGCAATATATTCCTGCACAAAACAGAGGCAGTCGATAAAAGCCTCAGGGATATCACAGTTTTTTGCTCTGGATTTTACCACGAATGTATGATTTGTGTTTCCAGTTCATGCAATATGTTCAGCTGTTGGTGCTGGCATCGAATCGATTCGGATCTGAATTCTTGATCGTTCGTTTTTCAGCAAAAGGTTGACTTCTACGTTAAGCTCAAAGAACTTATTTGGACCAGTTGAAGTACTGATATAGCTAATCATCCCCGCAGGTGATTCAACGCTCTAGGATCCCAAGAGTTGATTGGTTGGAAGAATAACCTGGTGTTGGTAGGGCGACCAAACTGCTTAGCTCCGCAAAGAAGCATTCTTCAGAATTCATTTCGATAATATTTGTGAATGTTTAGAATGCTATCGTGATATTTTTGCACCCATGTCAATCAATTACGTTTCTCATTTTTATCAAGAAATTATTCAGTTGTGAAAATTTCCAACGAGACAAGAGAAGTATGAGCATGTAGGTGGTGATGGTGGCCCAGTGGTTTAATCGCCATCACTGGCGTGCTTTGAAACCTATGGTCCGAGGTTCGAACCCCCCACCACCAGCCGTCTTTACTGTAGTCTGCTTCAATACCGCGCGGGGCCTTATGTGGTTCGCCACTCCAAGTCCACGGGCACAGGTTTCCAGTTTCCCTCATTAAATATCAGGTCCAGGTAATCATGGGGCCCACCCCCTCGCACAGAATGTGTACAATGAACAAATACGTCTCATAACACCACTTTAAATTTTCAAGCTAACAGGTCAAGAATGGGAAACGTAGCTCATTTTTGAACATCATTTTGTCTCTATAGCACTATTCCATGAAAATGTATGCCAATACAGTTTGGTAAAAGGTTTTTCCTAATAACATCCTAGCAATTGAATATGTGAGCGACTGTTTTGCTCTGCGAAATACAGTGACTATAGTTCAGCACCAATATCGAACAAAAACGATTATAATCGCTATTTGGCCCATATACGGTGTACAGTTTGTAGCGATTCCTCAACTGACAGTTTTACACCGGCAGTTTACTTTTCTTACCTCCTTTTCATCTCCGAATTTCATGATATATCGTTACGCTGCATGTAGGCTTGAAGTCGCGGAAATGAAGCAAATTTACCAAACAATCGTGTTGTTACAGAAAACAAAACCGGTTGTTTCCAATTTCCTGTTACTTAGGGGCCATCGCAACATGGCTCCAAAACCATGTTACAGGTTTGTCAGAAGCAACAATCTTTGGACATTTGTTAACTCAACTCAGCTCATTATTTACACCCAGTATTTTAATAATTAACTAATTAGTTAGGCACAGGTCGGTCGTACCTCTTTAGAATAGTAAACCTCTTGTGCTCAATTAGGTATTGTCAAGCTTGCTACCCAATGATCTCATCTCCGAATTATTGCCACAGCGCGATTTCGGAGAAACTTCTTTATTAGGAGTGGCAGCTTCACACAGTTCGAGATTAAGTTTTCTTCTTCGTATATTTGTGCTTTTTTACTGAGCACTGCCATCATTCCGAACCGTGAGCTCTGTCTCACACGCTTTCCCCGATCTGATCTGAGAAAATATACTTTCAGATTCCAACGGTCGTTGCTACACTATTCGCCTAAGCTGGCTACAACTCACTTACAACCTATGATCGTTTTGACATTCGAGACCATTTTGGGTT